TTAGGTTGCTGCAATGAGTGAGTTTATGCATGGGCCCTTTAAGACCAAGGTCTTTTCGGCTTTTGGCCAATAGCTTTTCTGGGGGTATCCTTGCTGCAGTTAATAGCCAGCAAAGCCGGATAGTAAGACCACCGTCTCAGTTGGGCTGAGTCTGAAGTATGCTTATAGCAGTATTGCCCCTCCTCTGGAACTCACTCCTCTAGGGAGGGCTGTGTACCTTAGGGTGTCTCCCGCCTGGCCAGCTGAGAAGCTCCGTTGCTACCAAAGGTGGCTTTTTTCCTCTACAGCAGGAATTTCTGCCTCTTATGCCTTCGTCAGGACTGTCCCTTGTTGTGGGGGTTCTTTTTATCCAGTTTTCAGTTTTCAATCCTGGGTAATTTTTCCAAAAATAGTTGTCACCTGGTTGTGTTTGTGGGAGGAGATGAGTTCAAACTCTGCTCACACTGCCATCTTGATGAGATCTCGAGAAACGTTTTTTTTTGTTTATGAAGTTAGGAGAGGCTGCTGTAAACATAGGGTCCATTGGGGGACACTGGGAGTTCAAAGTGTAGTGACTTTTCTTTGGCTAAGTTACAGCAATATCTCATTGGCTGAGCCCTTGCTGGCCTCCCAACTCCATCTTATTTATTTATTTGGTGAGGAAGATTGGCCCTGAGATAATATCCATTGCCAATCTTCCTCTTTTTGCTTGAGGAAGATTGTCCCTGTGCTAACATCTGTGCCAATCTTCCTCTATTTTTTATGTGAGATGCCACCACAGTATGGCTTGATGAGTGGTGTATGGATCCATGCCTAGGATCCAGACCTGTGAACCATGGGCTGCTGAAGCAGAGTGCACAAACTTAACCACTATGCCACCAGGCTGCCCCCCCAATTCAATTTTAAATGTGATTTCCATTTATGAATTTTCATATTTTCCCCTTTTGATCAAGATCTTTCTCTGAAAGCATCACTGATCAAGAGTCAGTTTTTTTCCAGATTCAGTGGTCTTTTGTCCCTCAGCCGGGAGAGAACTTTCCTGTGTGTCATGTCCCCCATCAGAGGGAAAGTGAACAGATTGGAAATGTGTTGAAGTCACATTTGAGTGACAAGGATGGGTAGGAGGGAGAGCTCTCAGGTATTTCCCAATTAAATCTCTATATTTCTAAAAGACCTGGTCTGGACTTCTTGGAAAAGCTGTGTCATTGGAGGTAATCTGCTTCAGTTCTGAGAAATCATTTCCTTCAGGTTATCAGATGGCTTTGCATGGGCTTCCTTACTTGGGGATATTGATTAATTCTGGGGAGATATTTTGAGGGACCTATTTGAATCTTGATGGGAGGTACACTGTGTATTTTGCCAATATCAGTTGGAATTTTGCCCGTAAGTAGGGTGGTAGTTGATTCACTAGGGGGAAATGATCAATGTCTTCAGAATCAGCTCTATTTCCTTCAGAAATGGAGCAAAATACAGGATGCTGAAGGGTCATTTAATTTACTTGGTTGGCTATTTTGATTGTTACTGTCAAATTCTAGAATTATTTCCTGCATTTGGGAAAGATACCAGCATGATATCTTTCTAAGAAGTCTCAACCTAATAAACGAATAGGGTCAGAGGAGCTAAGGAAAAAAGGGTGGGTATCTCGCAAAGGGCTTAAACAAAAGGGAATAGGTTCAGAAACAGACACCTTTTGAGGTTTATTATAAACCTTCACTATTAGAACTGTTGTAGTACTCCGAGGCAGGGGCTGCTTTATAAGATTGGGGTTGAACACCAAGTGTTGCCTCCAGTGGCAATAAGGATAGAGAAAGATTCATTCACAATCTGGAGAGTTGATTCTCTGAGCCGATTCAGAGGAAGGAATGGGAAGAGCCCCTGTAGTTCCTTGAAGCCACATCATTGGGAATTAGGAGGACATTGGAAAGGCTAGTTAGAGGATAGATGGCACGATGGCACCTGAAGAACTTAAGTTTGTAATAGTCTATTTTCCAAAGTCCTGATTCTTTGCAATAATAGCAGAAACTAGGAGGTTTTTGCTTTTGTATTTAGTATTGAAGGTTAAGAATTTTGGTGTTTTTTTTTTTTTTTTTTTTTTTTTAGGTAACTCATCTAGGGTGAGAGTGAGTTGATTTGCCAAATTAACTAAATCTGGAGTGGATAGAGTTTCCCATTCCTCCCTGGTGCTTTTAACTAAAAGAGAAAGGTCCTGGTTCAGCTGGTTAATAAACACAGAGTTAAAACCTACCCAGGTGGATGTAACATCTGAAGCAAGACCAGAATTTTTTGAAAACAATCTGAAGGCAATTATAATAGTCATGAACAGGTTCCTCAGACTTTTGTGCATAAGCTTGAATTTTGTCCCAATCAATAGGCTTAGGAAAAACTACTGTAATTGTTTGGTGGCATTTTCCCACAGGTGGTTTAGCCTCTTGCCTAAAGTTAGGGGTTTGTTTTTCTAAATCCCTTTCAGGATTTTCCCATTGGGCAAGTTTCATCCAATGTGTGGCTTGACCCTCACTGTGGGGTGGACTAACTGATATAGGTCTGAAAAACCAGATTAGTATGTTTGTACAACTATATTAAATTCTTTAGTAAACCTACGGGGATGTTCAGTTACTTTAAAAAACTCTCTAACTATAGCTGGTAATGCAGCTAGGGAATATAAGAGATTTGAAGTTTGTTTGGATCCTCAGAAGACTTAATAGGTTCTGATTGATTTGGTGGAGGAGGGAGCAGGGAGAAGCTTAGGGAAAAAGGGAAGTTTGGTGAGAGAATTAGAATGGGGAAGCTGAGGGTATGGAGGAGGTGTAGGCAGTATAGAAGGGAAGGAAGAAGGTGGCGCTAGAGTCAGGACCTAAGCTCAAGGTAACTGATGCAGGTCCAGAGACAAAGGAGATGGGGGAGGGGAAAGAGAGGCTTGGGAAACCATTTTGTCTTTCTTTAATTGTTTGTATGCCTCAGTTCATCTTAAAATTTTATTTTACAGAGAGGAATTTTAGACTCCTTCCTAGTTTGGAAGCCCCAAAATGCCAACCCAAATAGGCGTTCCATTCAGTTTTGGCAATTTCAGAGCTATGGCAGTCCAATTTGGTTTTAATAAAATTAAGTTTCAGGAGTTCAAAAGTTCCCCATTGTGGCCATTGGTGTTCTAAATTACTTTTGGTTAGTTGGTTCATTTAGTCAGGAAGGTGCATGATTAGGGACCATGATTTTTAAACATAAAATCAGCCAAAGTCTCTGAATTGGGAAGTGCATCCTTAAACATTTAGATGACTGGGATCCTGTTTCTCAGAGATCTTAATCTAGAGCAAAAGAAAAATGTCTAAAGATGTGCAGGCCAAATACCAGCACAGCTCCAAAAGAGGAGCCTGGTTCTAAGAGGAATTAAACCACAGGCCAGCACAGGTCTGATAGCACCATTCCCATAGGAACAGTCTGGTTCTAAAAAAGTCAGGCCAAAGGTTGAAAAGCACAGTCCAGCAGGAACAGTCCTGTTCCAAAAGGAATCAGGCTAAAGACAAAGTGAGTAATTGCAAAAAGGACAAAACCCTTTAACAGAAAGGACAGGTTGTGAATAAAGGCTGAAGAGGTTGAAACTCAAGAAGAGTGGGGCTCGAGATCCAGGAGAAAACTTACCTTCAAACTTGTGAAAACTAATCAACAGAAACCTCCTTAAATTGGAGTCAGGAGGCCAGAATGGGGGACTCTCATGCCCAATGTCTATAGAAGAGCCCAATAGGAAAGAGAAAGACTTCCTCTTCCTGCCTAGCAACAGCTCAGTTGATGAGAGACACTCCCAATCCAGCCAATGACAATCTACTACACTTTGAACTCCCAGTCTCCTCCAATGGACTCTGTTTACAATAGTTCTCCCAACTTCTGTTCCTCTTTATAAGAGTTTCTCCTCCCCTTGTTGTGCTAGACTTGAATGTGGTCACCATGGTTGTAGACCCCAAATTTGCAGTTCTTTGCTGATCCTGAACAAATCCATTTTTTTTTTTTTTGCTGGAGAAATAGGTGGCTGTCTATTCGTTTAAGGTCAACATTTTGGTGGCTCTACCAGGGATTCAGAGAAGACTCTTGATGATTCCAAAGCTAGGGAGCAAACAAATGTGGTACCCACAAAAGAATCCATTGACCTTACTCCGTTTCTCTCTGACTCTGGGGTTTGAGGGTAAGTCTTTCTACTGGACTTTTCACCCTTTGTGCCTTTAAGGCTCTCTTGCCTTTATTCAGGATCTATTTTAAGGCTTCATCCTTTTCTGGTTAAGGCCTTGTTTTTTCTGCAATTATCAGTTGGCTCTTCAGCCTCACTCTTCTGAATCAGGCATTCATTGGAACTTGTTGCTCCGTCTTAGATCTGATGCCAAATCAGACAGTTTCATTGGAACTGTGCTATTCAGCCTTTGGCCCAAGTCCTTTGGATCAGGCTATTCTATTGGAACTGCGCTGTTTAACCTTTGGCCTAACTCCTTTGGAATGGTGCTGTTCTAGTGGAACTGTGGTTTCAGCCTTTTGCCTAACTCCTTCAACATTAGGCTGTTCCATTGGAACTGTGCTGTTTAGACTTCAGTCTGACTCCTTTAGAATTAGGCTGTTCTTTTAGAACTGTGCTGGTATTAAGGATAAGGTCATTTTTAAAGTTAAAGTAGGAAAGAAATAGTACAGTTAGAAATAAAGTATAAAGTTTAGTTATTTTCAGTCAACCCTGGAGCCTCTATTTTGTTAAAATTTCACTGCATCTGGCTCTGATAAAGACCAGGCAAATACGTTTATGCAAATAAAGACAGTGTGTCATTGAGCTGGGAGTGATTTGCATGGCAAAGGAGATCACAGGAATCCTGTTTTCAAATCCTGGGAGACTAGGGTTGTATGCTGGTAGCTACGATTTTGTATGAATCCATATTCCTGCATCTCTGGTCTCAGCAGGGTGGCTTGGTCACAGAGGCTGTTTTTCCCTGTGGATGTGTCCTAGCACTTCAGAGTAAGAACTGAGTCTGAGCAGAACTTCCCCGGAGGAGATGCCCTCCTCATCCATGTTGATCTTCATGGTCATCTTTTTCATGGAGACCTTGGCTACAATGTTGCAGAATGGCTTCATTGTTGCTGTACTGGGCAGGGAGTGGGTGAGATGCTGCACACTGCCTTCAGGTGACATGATGGTATCCTGCCTGGCTGCCTCCTTATTCTGCCTGCATGGGATGGCCCTCCTAAACAATCTCATTGACTCCTTTAACTTTTGTTCCAAAGTTTACTATTTCAACACTTCCTGGGGCTTTATCAACGCTCTTACTTTCTGGCTTACTGCCTAGCTTGCTGCCTTCTACTGTGTGAAGATCTCATCCTTCTTTCATCCTGTCTTCCTCTGGCTAAAGTGGAGGATTTCTCGGTCAGTGCCCAGGCTGCTGCTGGGCTCCATGATTATATCTATCGTGCCAGTCATTCCATTAGCCACTTGGAATAGCATTCTTGTGCAGCTGAGTGCCTCCCAGAGTTCCCATGGAAACGGCACCCTATGTGAAAGAATACAGACCATCTCTCTCTACTCTTTTTTGCCTACAGTGCTTATGTTGTTGATTCCCTTTCTCCTGTTCCTTGTGTCCACCCTCTTGCTCATATTCTCACTGTACAGGCACTTGGGGAAAATGAGGGACCACAGATCCGGCCCATGTGATCCCAGCACCCAGTCTCACACCATGGCCCCGAAGTCATTTACTGTCTTCCTTGTCTTCTACACATCATATTTCCTCTCCCTGATTATTGCTTTTATGAAAATCACAACACTGAAGAATCAGAGCCATGGGGCCTGGGAAGTGGTGACCTATGCAGGCATCTGTCTGCATTCTAGCATCCTGGTGCTAAGCAGCCCAAAGCTGAGAAAGGCCCTGAAGAGAATCCTTTGCAAGTCCCTGGACAAAAGATGGTTCATCACAAGTATCAATATCAATAATCAGTATCAATAGATAAGCCCTGAGTGGCAAAAATCTGCAAGGTTTGGGCCCTGTTCTTTCTTCATTTCCTCTTCTTTCCCACCCCTTCCCTGACCCATTAATTCTTTTTCCATTTGTCTCTGTTCCTGCATCCTTCCATTGCTCCCAGTCCCTAATCTGTGTCCCAAACTACCTTGACTAGGATGTTGTCCTCATTTCCTCACAGGCTCTCTCAGCCTTTGTGTAAGCAACTCTAATTATATCCTCTAGGCATCATTGTGGTCTTTAATCCCTTTACAGAGACTAGTAACAGTTGTCAGATTTCTCTGTAGTCAATCTCAAGTAATTTTTTTTTTAAGAGTAGCATGGATTGCCCCATACCATTCACTTTGTGACATCAACTGGTCTCCTTATTCTTGCTCTGCTCTCAGCTCAGCCTCTCTATTTCAGCCCAATAAAGCTTATTTCCACCTCCCTGCATGTTCCTCCCTCCAGCCTGTGGTCAATAGGCCTACCTGGGACTTCCTTTTGTCCTTTCTCGATCAATCATTGCCATTCCCTCCTTTTTTGCCCTGCTTAAGGAAGATTCCACCCATGGGACTTTTTCAGTTTGATCTCATGGAAGGCTGAGGGTCAGTATGAGTTTTGTGTCCCTATAGGTCTTGTCCATGATTTTGTGCATTTGTTACATCTTGAATTAAAAGGAATTGTCTAATGTTGAAATGCTTCTAGGTTTTGGCCAACAGAAGAAAGAGAAGGAGAACAGAGAAAATTTTCTATAGTTCTTAAATTTGATAAGTCTTCTCCTCCTGTCCACTGAGCCTGGAATGCACCCTGAAGGCCAATGCCTAGGATGGTAGTCTCCAAATTGGACTGTTTCCATCTCAGAGTATGGGCAAAATGATCCATTTGATGTATGAAGAAAGTGTGGCAACTTCAATTTCTATTTATTTTTATCACATGTTTTTAGTTCCTATTTGTTGGTGTATGTTTTATGATGCACATAATGTATTAGTAAGGTAGTACATGCTGTTAATTAAAGAAAATAATATGCATACATTGGGATGCATATTTATATATATTTTTTCCCAATGGAGTTCACCATAAAAGAGTATGGAGACCAAGAGACTAGAAGAGATTGGGGAAATCAGCAGACATGGTTAAAGGAGATTCATAGGTGAGAAAGAAATTTCCTCTACTTTTCTAGGCTTTTCTGGCAGGTCTAAGAATTAAATTCACATGAGACATAATAAGAGGGGAAAATTAAACAAATTTAATAACATATATATGTGGGAACATCCCAGGAAAACTGAGTAACTGACCAAAATGGCTGAGGCCACCACCTTACATACCCTTGTCAGCTAAAGACAAAGGAGCACGTTGAGGGTAGTGGTTTGGGATTTCCAAGAGGAAGAAGACTATTCACATGGAGATGGAAAAATAGATGTTTGGCAAACAGATCTTTGTTATGTCTTGCAAAGGCAATGAGACCTGGACAGGGCTTTGATCAAATGGGCCTTGCCAGATTCCTCCCTGTCTACCACAGCTAGTTCATATTATACTATAGTTATCTATGGTATTAGCTCTTTCTTGAAACATGCCTTCTCCCTTAAATTCTTAGGCAGTTGGGGGAGGCTCAACGTTTCTTCCTGAGTCTTTTGTTCTTAAATATAATCAAGCCAAAGAGACAGATTTTGGGGTAGCAAATTCTGTTCCCCTACAGTTTCATGTGTTTGTCAAATAGGAGTGAAAAAAGAAAACAAGAGAGAATAGAGGTCCATAGAATTTCCAAATAAACCCCTCCAATTATGGTAAGTAGTCCAACGATCATGAAAATTTCATCTTCCAATGCTTCTGAGTGTTTAATTTCAGATATCATGTTTTCAATTCCCAAGAACTCCTCTTTTAAAAATTTGAGTATTCCTTAACAACATTGTGTTACACTATATGGCTTTCTTATACTCTCGTAACTGTCTGAAATTATCAATGCTTTTGTTAATGAAAGGTTTCTTCTCCTTGCATTGTTGTTTGCTCCAAGTAGCTAATTTGTCTGTCTTTTGGTCTTATCTTCATCTTTTCTCAGATGTCCCAAACTCCCTGTTTGCTGATGTTGAGTAAGGGATGCAAAGGCTGATTGGAAACTCTGACCTCATGAATGGGTCTTGTTGATCACAAGCTTCACTGTAGAGGGATTGGCCTGGCCAATTATTTGAGGCATCTCTGATATTGGTGTCTTTAGATCTTCCTCTTGGAAAGTTTATATTCTTAGCAAAGACTATACTCATTTCCTGCTTGGAGGCTGAAGGCTTGCATGCTGGTGTCCCGGAACTGAAGTGAGGGAAAAAGATTTGTTCACCTAATTTTCCTGTTTTCAGTATACTCTTTCTGCCACAAATGTGGTTGAGATACACACAGCTTAGGGATCCTGTTTTGTTCTCTCCAGAGAATACACCTCCAGTTTTTCCTGGGGTGGGCAGGAGTGTCTGCCCAGTTACTCAAAAGGGAAGAAGTGATCTCAAAATCTGAATCTTAAACTGACTTATAACCAATTTTTACCTATTTTTCTCCAGAGGTACCAGGTATTGCAAATCCTGAGTAAAAGTCAGGTTAGTTCTTGATTTTCTTTCTGTTTGCGTAGGATTTAATTTTCTCAGATCTGCTATGTTTTGACCACTGTTTCATCTACTTTTCAGCTTCCGAAATGCTTTTGTTTTCTCTTTCTCTTTGTTATCGTGGATTGGAGCCTTGAAAATAATTTCTAAGACTTCCTTTACAGTAAATTTAGAAGACCTTTGAGAAAGGAATAAAGGAAGATGCATTGATTTAATCCTTTTCCCTCTTGATGACTTTTGATGTGGGAAAGCAGTTTCAATTTTGTTTTTTATGGTGGCGTCCTGTCTTTAACTGGAATCTTGTGCAGAAGCTCAGTCTATAAAGTAGATAGATAGATCTGCTCTTTTGAAGAGGGGATGAAGGACTGTGGTTCTACTTTCTCAGTTCTCCTTCTGTTCCTTCCCTACTATGAGAACCTCCTGGATGGCATGGTTTGTCATCCACTGATTTAGAAGCCGAACGTGATTTATCTCTCCATAGATGTTTTTAGACATTCAAGAAAGTTTATGGCTTTATGCAAGGAGCATTGATTTATTCCTTAAGAGATTAACTTTATTGTTTCCACTGCACAAATAGTGCAAGACAGAGAAAAGAACGGTTCTAAAGATTTTTGCATTGGGATACAATTGGACTATGCACCTCATGGCAGGCTAATGTTATAATCTTAAAAACAACTTTAAAATGCTATTTTTAAAATTTGATATGAAAGTGTGTAAATTTACCTGAATATTAAACAATATTTAACTATGCTTACACATTTTGATAATTGAGGTTGCTGGAGACTCCAAATTTATTTTTAGATAGTTATAATTCTATTTTATACACTCTTACTATTAGATGCATTGCTTTATCCAAAATTATTTACCTGATTATATGAGTAAGATGCTATTTGTAGAGTTACAAAAGTATCTAGAGCTTATTCTGTGTGAAATCATTAGTAAATTTTTGCATGGTTTAACCTAATATATATGTGCAGTCTAGCTATTAAAAATTTATTTTATTCCTCCTCTACTTTTCCGTGGCAGAGACCATCAGTGACCTGATGAAACCATGGAAGAATGTGGAAGTATTCGTACACTTTAGGTCACTCAAAGGTCCGGGGGGGAAACGGACACTAAGATTTAGAGATTCTGCCAAATAAAATGTATGTCATCACATCTCTAACATGACTCAATGCACTTTTGAAGGTAATGAGAAAAAATAAAATAAAAAGAAACTAATGAACAGAAACCAAAAAATTCCTTTGCTACTGTAGAGAACCAAAATGAAGGAAGTTCTCGTAGGTCTCTTCAGAATCATCCACTTGGAGTCTGACCTTCTGCTGTTACTTGTTTGACACTAGCATCATTTCATGGAGGAATCAGACACCACCCTAAAAAATATATTGCCAATTGTGCTAGAGAAAGATTTATCAGCTTCATTCGCAGGCATGGGACACCTTTAGAAAAAAGAAACATGGTGGAACTCTTGTGAGAAACAGCTAGTATTTTGATTGCTGTTGCATGTGGAAGGACTCCGAAAACAGCTGACATCACTGTCCACCTATGGCCTCTTTTGGATGCAGACTATGAATGGGACATGAGACCTCTGTACGACATATCTATTGGAGCACTGAGAGACGGATGAGCATGTGCCTGAGGAGGGGTACTCTTTCAACCTCCTACAGAAGAGTACTGAAAGAGCAGAAAACATTGACTTTATAGACCTGTCAACCATAGAGAAGAAAATTCCTGAGAAAGAGTGTTGCTGGGGAACAGTCTTGTGATGCTGTGATGACTGTGTAAGTCACATCAAGGTCATCTATGGTACAAAAGAATATTCAGTTATGTGTGACTGCAACAGAGCATGTGTGCCACAGCCTCAACCAGCTTCTTGAAGACATCATGAAGCTGGCGTGTTGCCAAAAGATTTCAAGACTAGCCAGAATGTGAAATAGGCAGAGGCCATTCATTGCTGCCATCTTCAAGAAGGAGACAGGAAAACACTCAGAGAACTAAACCAAGTCACTGAAGCTGAGTTTCAAACCCTTGATCAGATTGCATTATCTGCTATTTGATAATCTTTTTAGAGAAATGAAGCAGCTCTTCAACCAAATGGCATATTATGAAGGCACCAAACCTCATTTTCTTGAGGTTTCCACAATAAATGTTTATATGTTTTGATTTCTCTAATGTTTCACATGCAGACTTTTCATTTGTGGAATCTTACGTGCCACCATGTAATGTGGGGGGCAAAGGTCATAAGGGAGGACTGTGATTCCAGGATCCTCGTCATCTGAAGAGCGGACTCTCTCTCCTGCTTCTCCACCTGCATCTCTGCTTTGTGTTACCCTCCTTCTTTCTCTTCCCTCTTTCTCCTTTTGCTTTTCTTTTTTTTCATGTTCATGGTCATCCTACCTTTTAAACCTGCCTTAGCTGAATCTTCATGGCTCCCTGAGCCTGTATTGGCTGATCTGAACTAGTATCACATTGTGTGGTTGTTGGTGGAGGCAAAATGCAACGTGTGAAATCATTTTATAAATGGAGAGATGTTCTAAAAAGTTGGTTGTTACCCTATAAAACATTGTTATAGGATCTGGCTCACCCTGCATACGGCAGTCCCTCCCTGTGTGTTTGTTGTGAGCTTTGTTCTGAGCTCCTCTTTTCATCCCACTGACTCTTGCTTCCTTGGCTCCTACTGTGAGGTCTGTTCTGGATCTGATCTCCCAGTTTCCTTTCTCTGTCTTTCCCTTCTCCTTATTGTGACTTCTCTACTCTTTTTCATCTCTTCAGAGCCTTCTTAGGAAAGGATTAATTTTGGTTTGCCATGCACATTGAAGCTAAGGTGTTAATCACTAACAGTTTTGATGTTAATATGTCAGCAAAATTCATATTTTAACTGGAGACTCCTTGAACTCCAATATGGAGACTGCCAGGGAAATTCTGAGGAGCATGAGAGGTCAGTGGAGGAGTTAATGAAGCCTGTTCTTAGTTCTTCCAAGACTTGTGCATATGAATGACGTTTTACTCCACCCATTCAGGAGGTGGGTCTCAAAATAGTATGCATTATATTATTTGAATAGAATATTAACCCAGGTCATGAAAGGTCAGGGAAAGTTTGTTGTTAAAGGTGGAAAGCAAGGAGAAGGGGATTTTATTTTATTTTATTTTTTTTAATGATTGACCCTGAGCTAACATCTATTGCCAATCTTATCTTTTTTTCATCTTCTCCCTAAAGCCTCCAGTAGATAGTTGTATAGTCTAGTTGTAGGTTCTTCTACTTCTGCTATGTGGGACACCACCTCAGCATGGCTTGATGAGTGGTGCTAGGTCCATGCCCAGGATCCAAACCTGTGAAACACTGGGCCGTGTGAACTTAACCACTCAGCTGTGGGCTGGCCCCTGGATATGGTCATTTTAAAGGGAAAGTAGTAAAGAAATAGTACAGTAAGAAATAAAGTGCAAAATACGGGCATTTCAATCACTCCTGGAGCCTCTATTTTGTTAAAATTTCACTGAATCTGGCTCTGAAAAGAACAGGCAAATAAAGGTAATGCAAATAGAGACAAAGTGTCATTGAGCTGGGAGTGATTTGCATGGCAACGGAGATCACAGGAATCCTGTTTTCAAATCCTAGGAGATTAGGGTTCTATGCTGGTAGCTAGGCTTTTGCATGAATCCATATTTCCTGCATCTCTGATCTCAAAAGGGTGGCTTGGCCACAGAGGCTGTTTTTCCTTGTGGATGTGTCTCAGAACTTCAAAGTAGGAACTGATTCTCAGCAGAACTTCCCTGGAGAAGATGCCCTCTTCACTCATGTTGATCTTCATGGCCACTTTTTCCCTGGAGACGTTGATTGCAATGTTGCAGAATGGCTTCATTGTTGCTGTGCTGGGCAGGGAGTGGGTACAAGGCTGCACACCCTCCTCGGGGGATGTGATTGTGGCCTGCCTGGCTGCGTCCCGGTTCTGCCTGCATGGGCTGGCCCTCCTGAACAGCTTCCTGGGCTTCTTTAAGTTTTCTTCCAAAATTTACTATTTCAGCATCCCCTGGGACTTTATCAACACTCTCAATTTCTGGCTGACTGCCTGGCTTGCTGTCTTCTACTGTGTGAAGATCTCAACCTTCTCTCATCCCACCTTCCTCTGGCTGAAGTGGAGGATTTCTCGGTCAGTGCCCAGGCTTCTGCTGGGCTCCCTGATCATATCTGGTGTGACAGTCATCTCATCAGCTACTGGGAATAGCATCGCTGTGCTGAGGAGTACCTCCCAGAGTTCCCCTGGAAACCACACTTTGGCTGATAGAATAAGCCCCTTCTTTCGGCACTTTTTTCTGAGTCAAGAGCTACTTGTGTTGTTGCTTCCTTTTCTCCTGTTCCTGGTGTCCACCCTCTTGCTCATGTTCTCACTGCACCAGCACCTGCAGCAGATGAGGGCCCACAGACCCAGCCCACATGATCCCAGCACCCAGGTTCACATCACGGCCCTGAAGTCACTTTCCTTCTTCTTTGTGTTCTACACATCATATTTCCTGTCCCTGATTATTGTTTCTATGCAAATCACAGCCCTGCAGCATCAGTGGCACTGGGCCTGGGAAGTGGTGACCTATGCAGGCATTTGTCTGCATTCCAGCATCCTGGTGCTAAGCAGCCCCAAGCTGAGAAAGGCCCTGAAGACAATCTTTGGAAAGCCCTTGACAAAAGATGCTTCATCTCAAGTTATCAGTATCAATAACCAGTATCAATGGACAAGCCCATGAGTGGCAAGAATGCACCAGGTTTGGGTGCTGACCTTATCTCTTTTAATGTCCTTCCTTTCCCACTCCTTGCATGCCCCATTATTCTTTTTCTATCCATCTCTGCACCTACCCTTCATTGCACTGCTCCTAGTGCCTAATCTGGGCCCTAAACTACCTTGACTAAGATGGCGGCCTCATTTCCTCACAGGCCCCTATCACCCTCTATATGAGTGACTCTAATTATATTCTCTAAGCACCACTGTGGTCTGTACTCCCTTTACAGAGACTGGTAATGGTTGTCAGTTTCTTCTGTGGTCAACCTCAAGTGTTAGTTTTTAATGGTAGCATAGATTGCCCCACACCATCCACTTTGTGACATCAACTGGCTCCTCATTCTCACTCTGCTTTCAGCTCAGTCTCTCTACTTCAGCCCAATAGAGCTTATTTCCATCTCCCTGCATGTTCCTCCCTCCAGCCTGTGGTTAATAGGCCTACCTGGAACTTGGTTTTTTCCTTTCTTTGCCAATCTTTGTCATTCCCTGCTTTTCTGCCCTGCTTAAGGTCAAATCCACTCATGGGACTTTTTCAGTTTGATCTCATGTAAGGCTGAGAGTTGGTATGAGTTTTGTGTCCCTATAGGTCTTGTCCATGATATTGTGCATTTGTTACATCTTGAATTAAAAGGAATTGTCTAATGTTGAAATGCTTCTAAGGTTTGGGCCAACAGAAGAAAGAGAAGGAGAACAGAGAAAACTTTCTATAGTTCTTAAATTTGATAAGTCTTCTCCTCCTGTCCACTGAGCCTGGATTGCACCCTGAAGGCCAATGCTTAGGATGGTAATCTCCAAATTGGACTGTTTCCATTCCAGAGTGTGGGCAAAATGATCCATTTGATATATGAAGAAAGTGTGGCAACTTCAATTTCCATTTATTTTTATCATATCTTTTTAGTTCCTATTTATTGGTGTATGTTTTATGATGCACATAATGTATTAGTAAGGTAGTACATGCTGTTAATTAAAGAAAATAACATGCATACATTGGGGTGCATATTTATAATTTTTTTTTTTATGATGGGGTTCACCATAAAAGAGTATGGAGACCAAGAGACTAGAAGAGATTGGGGAAAGCAGCAGACATGGTTAAAGGAGATTTGTAGGCGAGAAAGAAATTTCCTCTACTCTTCCAGCTGGTCTGAGAATTAAATTAAGACATAATAAGAGGAGAAAATTAAACAAATTTAGCAACATATATATGCGGGAAAATCCCAGGAAAACTGAGTAACTGACCAAAATGGCTGAGGCCACCACCTTACATACCCTTGTCAGCTAAAGACAAAGGAGCAGGTTGGGGGTAGTGGTTTGGGATTTCCAAGAGGGGGAAGGCTATTCACATGGAGATGGAAAAATAGATGTTTGGTAAACAAATATTTCCTATGTCTTGCAGAGACAATGAGACCTGGACAGGGCTTTGATCAAATGGGCCTTGCCAGATTCCTCCCTGTCTACCACAGCTAGTTCATATTATGCTATAGTTATCTATGGTATTAGCTCTTTCCTGAAACATGCCTTCTCCCTTAAATTCTTAGGCAGTTGGGGCAGGCTCAACGTTTCTTCCTGAGTCTTTTGTTCTTAAATATAATCAAGCCAAAGAGACAGATTTTGGGGTAGCAAATTCTGTTCCCCTACAGTTTCATATGTTTGACCATGTCAAAATCAGTGTAAAAATAACAGGAGAGAATAGAGGTTGTATAGAATTTTCATATAAACACCTGCATTTATTGTAAGTAGTGCAACAGTCATGGGAAGCTGAAGCCCCAAAGCATTACGTTACAATGCTAGCAGGAGCTTGGGCAATGGCAAAAGGAAAGAGAGAGAGAGGAGCAGAGATGAGCTAACAGGGTGAGAAGTTTTTCACTCTGAAGAAGATGATTAAAGCTCTAAATGAGATGACTCCGAAAGCCCTTGTAATTTCTTGTGTGATAAGTGTGCTGGGAGAATCTTTTGCTCTAATATATGGTCTTTGACCCCAGTTCCTGACACAAGAACTTATAAGACTCTTGGAATGTCTGGTGATGGGAATGATTTTTTGTATGCTAATGAGATGACTGGTGGTTGGGGGTTCTAGCTTCAGGATAGTGAGTGGTTTACCAGAAAGAGTAGGCATGAAGAGAAGGTGCGTATTTCAGCCCAACCACCAACCTCTGAAGAGAGGTCAGGGACTGGAGACTGAGTTAGTCATGAGTGGCCTGTGATTTCATCAATAATATCTACATAATGGAGCCTCCATATAAATGCTAAACAAGGGGTTCAGAGAGCTTTTGAGTTGGTGACACATCCACATGGTGGGAGGGTGGGACACCCCAATTCCACAGAGACAGAAGCTCCTGTGATCAGAACTCTTCCAGAGCTCACCCTATGAAACTCCTGATCTGGTTGTTCATCTGAATCCTTCATAATATACTAGCAAATGTAAGTAAATTGTTTTCCTGAGTTCTGTGAACCCTTTAGCCAATTATTAAATCTAAGGAGGGAGTGTGGGAACAGTCAATATATAGCTAGTGAGTCAGGAGTACAGGTGGCAACCTGAGACTTGCCACTGCCATCTGAAGTGGGGGCAGTCTTGTGGGACTGAGCCCTTAACCTATGAATCTGGACTGACTTCGAGTAGTGAGGGTCAGAATTGAATTGTAGGACCCCCAGTTGTTGACTAGAGAGTTGGAGAATTGCGCAGTGTGAGAAAACTCCACATACATTTGGTGTCAGAAGTGTTGTGAGTAGAGAAACAAGTTTTCTCATAATGAAAATGTAAATGCTATTCATGATGGAACCATGTATTAAACCATAACATTTTCTTTCCTGCACAAATTGTTGTTTTCTGTTGCATTAATAAGTGTCTTGTTTTGTTTGGTATTGTTCTCAAACTCTTCATCAATGGTCTAAGTCTTTCTCAGCAATTTTGGAGTCATCAGGTATTCTAAGATTTTATCTGCGTGAGAAAGTCCTTCCTGGAGCCTCTTGTCCTGCTCCAATCTGGACTTGTCCCCATGCTCAGTGTCCCACCATTCACCCTGAGATCGGCTTTTACAATGGTCCTGGCGATCCTTTGCCTTTCTTTCATTGTGGATCTGCATTGTCTGTACCCTGTGTCTTCCTTTATCATGATACAGTCTATAGCTCTGGAGGTATAGTTCCTAGAGAAAGAGTACATAGAAAGTAAACTTTTTTGTGCTTGCCTTTTCTGGAAAGTCTTAATTTTGTCCTTGCCCTTGAATATCCAGATAGAGAATTCTATGTTAGAGATAGTGCTTTCATTGCCTTCTGGCTTCCAAAATTATCTTTAAAAAGTCTGAGACCACTTTAATTTTTAATATTTTGAATTTGGTATCCTCGCCTCCCGCTTCCCTCTCTAGAGGCTTGTAGGATCATCTCTTTATGCTCAGTAATCTAAAATTTTATGATAGTGGGTCAGGTATTTGGAGGGCCCTTTTAATATGAAAACCCTTTTCCTTTAGTTCTGGGAATTTTTCTCCATATTTTGTTAATAATTATCTGCCCTCCATTTATTATTATTATTTTTATTTTTAGAATCTCTATTACTAGGATATTGCATACCTGGGATTGGCATTCTCTTGTTTTTCACCCACTGTTTTTTTCTCTACTTTCTGAGACATTTCATAAATTTCACCCTCCAACTCTTCTGCTGAGTGTTTAATTTCAGATGCCATGTTTTTAATTCCCAAGAACTTCTCTTTTAAAAATTTAAGTATTCTTTAACAAAATCCTGTTATTTTGTATGGCTTTGTTATATTCTCTTAACTGTCTGAGAATATTGATGCTTTTTTTTAATGAAAAGTTTCCTCTCCTTGCAATGTTTTTTCCTCCAAGTAGCTATTTTTTTCTGTGTTTTGGTCTTATCTTCATCTTTCCTCAGATGTCCCAAACTCCCTGTTGTCTGCTCTTGTTGAGTAAGGGACAGAGAGGCTTACTGAAAACTCTGAACTCGTGAATAGAGCTTGTTGAACACAGGCTTCACTGTAGAGGGATTGGCTGTGTCAATTATTTGAGGCATCTCAAATATCGGCATATTTAGATCTTCTTCTTGGAATGTTCCGATTCTTGGAAAAAACTATACTCCTCCCCTGCCTAGAGGGTGAAGGCCTGGGTGCCAGTGTTCTGGAAGCAAAGTGAGGGAAAATCATTTGTTCACTCAATTTTCCTATTTTCAGTATACTTTTCCTGCCTCAAATGTAGTTGACACACAACTCAGCTTAGGAATCCTGTTTTATCCTCTCCAGAGAATACACCTCCAGTTTTTCCTAGAGTGAGCAGGAGTGTTTGCCCATTTATGCAAAGGGGAGAAGTGCTCTCAAAATCTGAATCTTAAACTGACTTATAACTAATTTTTACCTATTTTTTTCCAGGAGTACCTGGTATTGCAAATTCTGAGTAAAAGTCAGGTTAGTTCTTGACTTGCCTTCTGTTTGTATAGGATTCAGTTTTCTCAGATCTGCTATGTTTTGACCACTCTTTCATCTACTTTCCAGTTTCCAAAATGTTTTTTTGTTTTCTCCTTCTCCTTGTTATTGTGGATTGGAGCCTTGAAAATTATTTCTAAAAATTCCTTTACAGTCAACTTAGAAGACTTTTGGGAAGGGAGCAAAGAAGATGCATTGATTCAATCCTTTTCTGTCTTGATGACTTTTGGTCCAGGACATCAGTTTCAAATTTTTTTGTGTGGTTTAGTCCTATATTATCCAGATGCTCAGTCTATAAAGTAGGTAAACAGATCTGCTCTTTTCAAGAAAGGGTGAAGGCCTGTGGTTCTACGTTCTCAGTGCTCCTTTTGCTCCTTCCCTACTATGAGAACCTCCTGGAAGGCATGGTTTGTCAACCACTGATTTAGAAGCTGAATATGATTTATCTCTCCAGTAGATGTTAGACATTCAAGTGAAGTTTACAGCATTATGGAAGGAGCCTTGATTTATTCCTTAAGAGATTAATTTTATTGCTTCCAATTGTGCAAACAGTGCAAGACAGAGAAAAGAATGGTTCTAAAGATTTTTGCATTGGGATACAATTGGACTATGCACTTCATGCCCGGCTAAGCTTATAATCTTAAACATAACTTTAAAATGATATTTTTAAATTTGATATGAAAATGTGTAAATTTACCTGAATATTAAACATTATTTAACTGTGCTTACACATTTTGATAATTGAGAATGCTGGAGACTCCAAATTTATTTTCAGATGGTTAAAATTCTATTTTATACTCTGTTGCTAGTAGATCCATTGTTTTATCCAAAATTATTTACCTGATTATATGAGTAAGAAGAGGTTTGTAGCATGAGAAAAATATTTAGCACTTATTTGTGTGTGAAATCATTATTAAATTTTTGCATGATTTAACCTAATATATCTGTGCAGATTAAAAACATTGTTATTTCCTTCCTCCTCCACCTTTCTGTGGCACAGACCATCAGTGACCTGATGAAACCATGGAAGAATGTGAAGTCATTCACACACTGTAGGTCACTCAAAAATCCAGGGGGAAATGGACACCAAGGTTTAGAGATTCTGCCAAATTAAATGTATGTTATCACATCTCTAAGATGACCCAATGCATTTTTGAAGGTAATAAGAAAACATAAAATAAAAAGAAACTAATGAAGTGAAACCAAAAAATTCCTTTGCTACTGTAGAGAACCAAAATGAAGGAAGTACAAGTGGGTTTCTTCAGAATCGTCCACTTGGAGTCTGACCTTCTGCTATTACTTGTTTGACACTAGCATCACTTAGAAGAATTAGGTATCACTCTAAAAAATATATTGACAACTGTGCTATAGAAAAGGACTTGCCAGGAAAGGGACACATTTAGAGAAAAGAAACATGGCAGAACTCTTGTGTGAAACAGCTAATATTTTGATTGCTGTTGCTTATAGAAGGACTGAAAACAGCTGACATCACTGTCCAACTGTGGCCTCTTTGGAGGCAGTTATGAATGGGACATGAGACCTCTGTAAGACATATCTATTGGGGAATTGAGAGATGGATGAACAGGTGCCTGAGGAGGGGTACTCTTTCAACGTCTTATAGAAGAGTACTGAAAGAGGAGAAAATATTGACTTTTTAGAGCTGTCAACTGTAGAGAAGGAAAAGTCCTGAGAAAGACCGTTTCTGGAGAAGTGTATGCTGTGATGACCGTGGGTGTCACATGAAGGTTGCCTGTGAGCACACAGGGATACTCAGTTACATGTGACTGCAACAGAGCGTGTGTGCTGTGGCCTCAACCAGCTTCTTGAAGACATGGTGAAGCTGGCCTCATGCCAAAGGATTTAGAGAAGAGCCAAAATGTTGTATAACACTCATTGCTGCTGTCTTCAAGAAGGAGACAGAGGAGAACATGCAAAGAACTAAACCAAGTCACTGGAGCTGAGTTGCAAACAATTGATCAGATTGAATTCTTTCCTCTTTGATAATCTTGTTAGAGAAATGATCAGCTCTTCAACCAAATGCCATATCTGAGAGGAGTTGAACCTTGTTTTCCTGAGGTTTCCGCTATAAATCTTCATCTGTCTTTATTTCTCTTTGATGTTTCACAAATAGACCTGTCACTTGTGGAATCTTGATTATGACCATGTAATGTGGGTGGTGAAGCCATGATTTGTAAGAGTCCATGAGGGAGGACCCTGACTCCAGGATCCTAGCTATCTGAAGAGGAAACTCCCTCCTCTGCTTCTCCACATATATCTCTGCTTCGCTTTACCTTCCTTCTCTCTCTTCTCTTTTTCTCCCTTTGCTTTTCTTTTTTTCTTTTTCATGGTCATTCCTACCTTTTAAACTTGCCTTAACTGAATCTTGACGGCTCCCAGAGCCTGAGTGGCTGATCTGAACTAGTATCACATTGTGTGGTTGTGGGTGGAGGCAAAATGCAACGTGTGAAATCACTTTATAAATGGAGTGGTGTTCTAATGGGTTGGTTGTTACTCTATTAAGCATTGATATAGGATGTAGTTTATCCTGTACACAGCAGTTCCTCCCTGTGGGCTTGTGCTGAGCTTTGTTCTGAGCTCCTCTTTTCATCCCACTGACTCTTGCTTCCTTGGCTCCTACTGTGAGGTCTGTTCTGGATCTGATCTCCCAGTTTCCTTTCTCTCTTTTTCCCTTCTTCTCATTACTGCCTCTCTACTCTTTCGCATTTCTTCAAAGCCTTCTTAGGAAAGGACTAATTTTGGTTTGCCACGCACATTGAAGCTAAGGTGTTAATCACTAACAGTTTTGATGTTAACATGTCAGCGAAATTCACATTTTAACTGGAGACTCCTTGAACTCCGATATGGAGACTGCCTGGGAAATTTTGAGGAGCATGAGAGGCCACTGGAGGAGTTAATGAAGCCTGTCCCTAGTTCTTCCAAGACTCGTGCAGATGAATGACATTTTACTCCGCCCATTCAGGAGGTGGGTCTCAATATAAGGTGTACAGGATATTGAATAAAATATTAACCCGGGTCATGAAGGGTCAGGGAAGGTTTGTGGCAAGAGTTGGAAAACAAGGATAAGGGCATTTTAGAGGGAAAGTAGTAAAGAAATAGTACAGTAAGAAATAAAGTGCAAAATATGGGTATTTCAATCACTCCTGGAGCCTCTATTTTGTTAAAATTTCACTGAATCTGGCTCTGATAAAGAACAGGCAAATACAGGTAATGCAAATAGAGACAGGGTGTCACTGAGCTGGGAGTGATTTGCATGGCAAGTGAGATCACAGGAATCCTGTTTTCAAATCCTAGGAGATTACAGTCGTATGATGGTAGCTAGGCTTTTGCATGTACCATATTTCCTGCCTTTCTGGTCTCAACAGAGTGGCTTGGCCACAGAGGCTGTTTTTCCCTGTGGATGTGTCCTCGTACTTCAGAGTAGGAGCCAAGTCTGAGCAGAACGTCCCTGGAGAAGATGCCCTTCTCACCCATGTTGATCTTCGTGGTCATCTTTTTCCTGGAGACCTTGGCTGCGATGTTGCAGAATGGCTTCATGGTTGCTGTGCTGGGCAGGGAGTGGGTGAGATGCCTCACACTGCCTGCATGTGACATGATTGTGGCCTGTCTAGCTGCCTCTAGGTTCTGCCTGCATGGGCTGGCCCTCCTAAACAACCTCATTGACTCCTTTAACTTTTGTTCCAAAGTTTACTATTTCAACATCCTCTGGAACTTTATCAACATTCTCACTTACTGGCTTACTGCCTGGCTTGCTGTCTTCTACTGTGTGAAGATCTCATCCTTCTCTCATCCCATCTTCTTCTGGCTGAAGTGGAGGATTTCTCGGTCAGTGCCCAGGCTGCTGCTGGGCTCCCTGATCATCTCTGCTGTGACAGTCATTCCAGCAGCAGCTAGCAATGTAATTCTTATACAGATGATTGCCTCGCAGAGTTCCCATGGAAACCACACTCTGGCTGATAGAGCACAGACCTTCCATAGGTACTTTTCTCTGTCTAATTTAGTGCTTGTATTGTTGATTCCCTTCCTGCTGTTCCTGGTATCCACTCTTTTGCTCATATTCTCACTGCACCAGCACTTGGGACAGATGAGGGCCCGCAGACCCGGCTCATGTGATCCCAGCACCCAGGCTCACATCATGGCCTTGAAGTCACTTACCTTCTTTCTTGTGTCCTACGCATCGTATTTCCTGTCCCTGATTATTGCGTTTATGAAAATCACAGCCCTGCGGCGTCAGTGGCACTGGGCCTGGGAAGTGGTGACCTATGCAGGCATCTGTCTGCACTCCAGCATCCTGGTGCTAAGCAGCCCTAAGCTGAGAAATACCCTGAAGACAAAGCTTTGGAAAGCCCTGGACAAAAGGTGATTCATTTCAACTTATCAGTATCAATAACCAGTATCAATGGACCAGCCTATGAGTGGCAAGAATACACCAGGTTTGGGTGCTGTCCTTCTTTCTTTTTATTTCTTTCCTTCTTTCCCACTCCTTCCCTTCCCCATCAATTATTTTTCCATCCCTCTGTGCTCCTACCATCCCCACCACTGCTCCTAGTATGTAGTCGAGTTCAAAACCACTTCAGTTTCATATGGTGGCCTCATTTCCTCACAGGGCTCTCTCCCTCTGTACATGAGCAACCTTAGTAATATTCTCCAAGCATCATTGTTGTCTGTACTCCCTTTACAGAAACGTGTAATGGTTGTCAGTTTTCTCTGTAGTGAATCCGAAGTGTTTTTTTTTTTTAATGGTAGCATAGATTGCCCCACACCATCCTCTTTGTGACATCAACCAGTCTCCTCATCCTTGCTCTCAGCTCAGTCTCTCTACTTCAGCCTGGTAAAGGTTTTTCCATTTCCCCTCATGTTCCTCCCTCCAGCCCATGGTGTTTTGCCCACCTGCAGTTTCCTTCTTTCCTTTCATCGCCAATCTTTGCCATTCCAATCTTTCCACCTTGCTTAAGACTGATTCCACCTGGGGAGCTTTTTCAGTTTGATCCCATGGAAGGCTGAGGGCGGATTTGAATTTTTGCCACTATATGTCCTGTCCATGATTTCGTGTGTTTACTCCATGTTTAATTAAAAGGAATTGTCTGATGTTTAAATGCTTCTGGGTTTGGCCAACAGAAGATAAAGAAGGAAAACAAAGGAAATTCTCTACAGTTCTTAATTTTGATAATGCTACTCTTCCTGTTTTCTCAGCCAGCAATGGACCCTGGATGCCAGTGCCTAGAATGATATTCTCCAAACTGAGGTGTTTGTGTACCAGAGTGTGTGTGAAGTAATTCTTTGGATCTGGGAAGAAAAATGTTGCAACTTAAATTTCCATTTATTTTTATCTCATTCTTTTAATTCCTATTTTTTGATGTGTGTTTATAATATACATAATGTAGTAAAGTAGTATATGCACATAATTAAAATAAATAAATATACATATGGTGGAATGCATGTTCATAATTTTTTTTACCTCTTGGAATTCACCATAAAAAAGTACGGAGACAAAAAGAGTAAAAGAGATTGGGAATAGCACCAGACATGGTATAGAGATTCATATGTTTGAGCTAGTCAAAATTGCACTAATAAATAACAGGACAGAATGAGGTTACAAAATTTTCAAATAAATGACTACATTTATGGTAAGTTATCCAACAATCTTGGGGAGGTGAGTCCCCCCAAAATTGCATTACAGTGTTGGCTGGAGGGTGAGCTATAGCAAGAGGAGAGAGAGAGAGAGAGGAGCAGAGAGAAATGAAGAAGGTCAAGAGTGTTTCCTTGGAAGAAGATGATTAAAGCTTTAAAGGAGGAGATCCCCAAATTGCTGAAGAGGAGCATAAGGGATTTCTCAGAGAGTAGAGAGAAGGTGAGACTGGATAGAGGAAACTGTGCTACTATCAAGAAGAGTCTTTCTTTGTTCTTTTCTTTTCTTTATTTTGCTGCCACATGAGTGAGCTGATGACTTCTTAAAGGGAGGGCAATAAGAAATTGTGGAGAGTGAGTCTTGAGGCTTAAGTCCCAAGAAGGTTGGGTAGATTCAGCAAAGGCAGGAGCATCAGGGGTGTCATCTGGAAGACTTGCCTTTCCCTTGTACAGAGTTCCAGAACTTTACTGAATGTCTTGAGTGGGGAGGGTGGTGGTGGGACTCTCATGTTCTGCAATATTTCCATAGCTGTTTGAGTTATGCCAGATCTAATGGGCTTATCTCAAAATTCCTCAATTGGTTGATGTTCTCAACCTCCCTTTCCTAGACTTTAGCTCATAAAAGAGCCCAGAAATGTTGGGTGGCTGCATCTTGACCAAAGATACAACCCAGTATCGGATCCTGCCTTTCAAGACTTTCTGTGATCTCTCCCCATCCTACCTTTTCAGCTTGACGTGCCACCATTTCCATTTGTGAATCTTCTGTTGTAGCCAAACTTATCTAATCATTCCCTAAACATAATCACAGTTCCACCTCCTTTACTGATTTCATGTCTCCTTTCTTCTAACATGCAAGACAGCATCTTTGCTGTCCCACAATGGAGGGGATGCTGCTGCTGCTACTGAACTCTTCTGAGAATCCTTGGACTGGGAATAGGATGACTTATAACATTTAAAACCACAGCCTGAGATTCCTGCATTTTTATACCTCTGAGAGAGATACTGAATTGAGTGTTTCCCATATGGAGAACCTACTCAGGATTCCTACCTCTACCACCCTCTTGATAACACATATAAAGGCTAGCTGTGAAAACTTTAAATTCCCAGACTTGGCTTCCATCTAAGAAGATAAATCCAAATATGGGAAACAAAAATGCAACAAATGAAAAGCACAAACAATCAAAGAGTCACCATAAAACATATTGCATATTTAAGTACTATGATTATTCACCCTTTTGGATTAACTTAATCTGCACATAGAACATTCCCAGTAAATGTTTGTAATTTATGATTAGTGTGTGAAAGCACTTTGAAGGCAAATAGTTCATTGTTGTAGGCCCAGTGCCGTTCACAGGGTCGTTATGACATATAGGAGATGCTTAATAAGTGGTTGTTCAGTGAATTGAGTGTTAAAAGCACATCTTCCCCACTGTATGAGTCATCAAAGATGCAGAAGGTAGGTGGGAAAAGACATGAGTTTTCCATGTTAGGAGGTTTGTGACTGGCCAGACTCCAGAGCTATGAGCCCAAAGTTTGCCCTATTGCTCCAGGTTCCAGTAGGAAACAGGAAAATGTCAGCCAGAGGAGCAAGGGCAGGGAAGAAAGCAGCTGGGAACTCTATTCCCTGGAAATCTGCATCTTCCCAGAAAGGCAGAGTGAAAGTGTTATCTTAGTTCACTTCCTTTCTTCTCCTCATGAATGCAGTATTCACTACAGCTGGACCTCTGTGTTGGGAGAACAGTTCTGCCTGAACCTTTATTCCAGGTGGACTGGGGACTGGAAAGAGATGCTGAGTGTTCTGCATTCTATTCTCTCTTTGTGGGGTTCTATGCATGGAACTGGTAGGCTATGGTGCTGGCCAGGAGGTCAGTATAATATAAAATCTTCCCTCACTTTCATGTTACTTGATCATGAGCCTTCAATATTGCCATATATGACCCAGAAAAATTTCTGCTTGCCTATTTCCCTGTGACACATTAACCTGCTTACACTCATCTGGGCAAATAAGCACTCACCTGATTGCTGGGTTTTTTTTTGACTCTTCGAACATAATTTCTATGGAAAATGTGGCCTTTGCTTACTCCACCTTCCTCTGGTTAAAGTAGATGGTCCAATATTTGGTGCCCTGGACCTCTGATGCATCCCTGGCATTCTCTTGAATTCTCCCTGGACTGTTTGCCACTCCACAGGATGGGTAGAATGGAAGGTGGTCATTAAAATAACAGTCATCATAATCATCATAATTATTTCTTATGCATGTGCAGATTTATAGTTTCCAAATTACTTTCATATATATATGATCACATTTATTTGTGATCCAAATATTTTATAGATGAAGAAAGAGGGGTTCAGACAGGTTAAATGACTGGCCTGAAGATCCATAGATAGTGATTGTGACAAGACTCAAAACCTGGTCTTCTGCCTTCAGCTACAGATGAAGAAGAAAAGAGTAAAAGATGTGTTGCTAACTATGGCAAAGATCTCTGGTCCTGAAATCAGTTTGGGTTTTGGTCTTTCCTCCACTGTGACTTTAGGTCTGAGTCTTAATCTATAATTTGAGGCTTCATTTCTTTCGTCTATAAAATTATTTTAGTGTCTTCTTTCACTCTAAAAACTGAGGTAGTAGTCTTAGATTCTAGTCTAATCCTGTAAATTAGAACAGATGATACTTTTCACATCTTACAGATGGAGAAACTGAGGCACAAGGGGCTAACTGACATACCCACTAACTCAAAGTGAGAGGTTGAACTTGGACTAAGGCCTGTCTTGACTCCTAGTCCAGGATTCTTTCTGCCATATCCCATCCATTCTAAAGCTATCCTGCTTGGGGGTTCCTCTGTGAAATGCCAATTTAAAAGTCATTAATTATAAAATATTGTAAAAAATTCACCTGCATAATTATTCATAATGGCCTCCTACATTTTATTTGATGGTGATAGTTTCCACAAGTTATAGGATTTGAACTAACGTTTCTCAGCAGAGATTTTGCTTGGTTTTATTTTTGTCTGTGAAGGGGGTATTCTAAAAAGCACATACTTTGGTTGGCCATTGTGGGAACTAAAGACAATGGAGAACACTTAGAACAATGCCCAGAATGTAAAAACCAACCAATGGATGTGAGCCCTGACTGTCTGTAGGGAGTGCACCCTGTGGATTTCCTTGCTGAGCTACCAAGTATGTGGTCATGCCTAGGGTGTCAGCTTAGAGAAGTATAACTTCCTGTGTAAGGGATGCTAATGTAAGGGCCTGATATATTATCCACATGGATATTGACATGGGCAGAGGGTAGGCAGAGAAAGGGCAGGCAAATTCTCGGGCAGGAAGGTGGACTTTTGAAATTGAAACTCGACAGTATTTGCATCTATTCTGAGAAGAAGAAACCTCTTCCCCATCCTCAGATAGCCTGAGTCCTCTACTCTATCCTCTACACTTGGGACGGCTGGAGGGACAAACAGCATACAAGACCTTCCAGAGAAAATCTACCGGAATAGCCCTTGAAGTCTTGGGACTCATCTTGTCCACAGGAGGATGAATGGACATGACATGGTTTCAGGATGTTGGTGATTGATAGGAGAGCCATCACCTTGGCTATCATTTTATTCCTTTTGTGCCTGGTGGCAGAGATGGGCAATGGCTTCATCACTGTGGCACTGGGCATGGAGTGGTTACTATGGAGAACATTGTCACCTTGTGATGTTATTGGTCAGCCTGGGAGTCTCTTGCTTCTATGTGCAGTGGGTGGTGATGAGTAAGAACATTTACGCTAGAATTGTGTGTCCACTGGCCCTTCCATACAACCCTGTACTATAGTTTCTAGCCTTATAGTGGGACTTCTTGAACACTACCACCTTTTGGTTCTCTACCTGGCTCAGTGTCCTCTATTGCAGGAAAATTTCAACCTTCACTCACCCTGTCTTCCTCTGGCTAAAACAGAAGGTGTCTGGGTTGGTTCCCTTGATGCTGCTCAGCTCCATGGGGTTCTCTAGCTTGAGCACCATCCTATTTTTCACAGGCAACCAGAGCCAATATCAGAACTTTTTAAGGAGAGGTCTGCAATATTGGAATATCATCAGGAATCCTATAAGGAGATCACATGAGAAATTCTACTTCTTTTGTTTAAAATTCGTTACTTAGGCAGTTCCTGCTGTTGTCTCCCTCACTGGTAGGATTTTAGCTCATCATGTCTCTCGGAAGACACACCAATAAGCCCTTTCTGTCTGTCTCGGGCTTTTGCCATCCTAGTGCCCAGGCACACATCAGGACTTTCCTGGCTCTCATCTCCTTTGCTATCTTCTTCAATTCCTATTTTCTGTCACTGGTGCTCAGTGCTGCAGTTATTTTTCCATCTTAGGAATTTAGGTACTGGGTGTGGCAGACAGTGATTTATCGGTGCACAGTAGTCCACCCCATCAGTCTACTCTTGAGCAACACCAGGCTGAGAGTGGTGCCGGAGAGGAGCTGCTCCTCAAGGCATGGGGCATCTTGAGTTGCAATTGATGGAAAACCTCAGAGACTCTAATGCAGAAGGCATGGGAACAATGGGACATTGCTTCTTTAAATCTCTATGCCATATTTAATGATCTTCCCCTCTTTGTCACATTTAATGATGGAGAGAATAACTTCAATGAAATAGGATTTCAAGATGAGATTGAAGGCGCTAAAATATGGGATAGCATCACTGATTTATACTCAGCAAGCATATAACTGATACAGTTATGCTCCCGGTGGGACTTGATGTGGCCAAAGAATCAGGAAACTTTGACTTTCCCTGTGATCAGTCTCTTGGTGTTTACAATTTTCCTTCTGGAAACTGGATGCAAGGATCATGACACATCATTCAATTTTTATCTGTTGAATCAGACTGTAGGAGAATTTTGGGACCTCCCCTTTTCTTCTGGCTCCGTGCTGTAAACCACCTTTCCCATTTCATCACTTCACTGTTTCCCAGTCATGAAGTTTCCCTGCAGTGAAGCTCTCTTTCCTTCCATGCAAGAGATCTTGGCATCTGAATTCTCTTCACAAAGCATGGCTTAGTTCATGTGTGTGTGTGGCAGTGTGTGTTATCTGAGGTTTGTATATTCACAGATAGCTTTTTGAGATTCTTCTAAATTCTAGGAGTTTATGATTTATATATTGTTGATGTTCTCTCCATAGCCCAGTCTGTTAATCTGTTTTGTAAATGTTAAGGTCCATGAAACCAGATGTGACTTCTTTTATGTTGCTATTGGGACCTAGTGAAGCTGTTGACATGGAGAGGTTCATCTATATCTATCTGACACTTAGGCTTGAAGAAGAAAAAGACTCTTGGCTTGGTTTGGTGAAGAATGTAGACTGCTTCTGTGCCTTTCACAGGTCTTCTCAAACCTTCCTCAGGCTCGGTTACCTCTTGAACCATTCACACCGAGATCCCTAAACATCCTTCGGCTTGCTTTACCATCTCTCAGCCTCATTTCCTATTTTTCACCCTCTCCTCTCTGCATTAGAAGACAAGTCCCTGCTTTTGGCTTTTAGCTTTTGGCTAACATTTGTGCTCTCCTAACCCCACACTCCCCTGCCTCTTTTCTATCCCTTGTTTAGTCAAGGATTCTCACCTCTACACAGATCTTCAGGCTTTCCCTCTTTATTGTCCTTACCTTCTTCAACAAATGCACTTAACTTCTTTCCTTAAACAAATCACCTCAACTGTCTTACCTCTTCAAGTGACCATCATGCTAATTAGTCACTTGCCGAGAGTCCCTCTGTGGCCCCTTACAATCCTCTTCTGCTCCCCTATTCTGTTGAAATGTGTTTCTAAGGGACACACATGAGTTCCTAATCCCTAAAATTGATATTATCTTCAGCCCTCATTCTCCTATGTCTCTTTAGTATTTACCTCTTTTGCTAATAAATTGTGTCTTTAAAAATAACATTAAAATTAGCATGCTTCACTTCGGCGGCCCAGGTTGGGTTCCTGGACATGGACCTACACCACTCATCTATCAGTACCCATGCTGTCACGGCAGCTCACACGTAAAAAAGAGGAGGATTGGCAATTAGATATTAGCTGAGGGCAAATATTCTTCAGCAAAAACAAAACAAAACAAGACTGAATAAAAATATTTTTGCAAAAGTAATACCTGATCTTGGTGGAAGATTTTTTAAAAAGGCAAATAAACATCACTCTTACTTGTCCATCACATGTCTTCAAAGTCCTTTTTATCTTGCCTCCAATGATGCTGCACAAGGTTTCCTCCCCTGCTCTGCCACTCCTTTTAGGTCAGCCTCTGCTCAGCCTCTGGCCCCTGGTTCTTCCCTTAGCCAGCCCTCTTCTTTCTTTGAGATTAATCTACTCCTGATGGGTAGAGCACTGGGTGAAACAGGTAAAGGGGATAAATTAAGAGGTACAAACTTCCAGTTATAAAATAAATAAGTCAGGGATATAAGGTACAACAAAGGGAATATACTCGATAATATTGTAATAACTTTATACAGTGACAGACGGTTACTAGACTTATCGTGGTGATCATTTTGTAATGTACATAAATGTCGAATCACTGTTGTACACCTGAAACTAGCATAACTGTGTGTCAACTATACTTCAATTCAAAAATGAGATTAATCTACTCCTTTGTCCTTCGTGTTTACATCTACTCACATAGCTTCAGCTATGACCTTCATGCAAATCATCACTAAAGCCTTGGCCTACCTCCAAACTCTAAACCTACATTTTCTTCTGCTTGCTGGGCATTTCCACCTGATAGTACAGGAGCACTTCAAACTTGGCAAGTTCAAAATAGCTGTTTTTCTTTTCCTCCTCTTCCTCTTCCTTTCCCTCCACCAGCCTCCTCCACTGCTCAGCTGAATCTATTTTTTCTATTATTCATATCCAGGAAATCAAGTTTCCTATCTCTGAGTTAATTTTCACTCCCTGCTCTCCACTGAGCCCTTCTGTCTAATCGGCAGCTTGTCTTCAATTGCTACCTCTGGAATGTCTCTATGATCTGTCCCCTTCTTCCTGTTCCTGTGGATCCTATTTTAGATCAGACCGTCCTTCTCGCTCACCTGGATTGCTAAATTTATTCTTCGCCACTTGCTCCATTACACCTCCCCCCCCCCCATCAAAACTACCATTACCAGATCAACCTCCTTAAGGTATAACCCTGATCGTTTCACCCACACTCTCGTCGCCTCTCAGTGCCTATCAAATGAAGCACAGGTTGCTAAAATTTGGCAATTAAGGACCTCCATAGCATGGCAACACTTTTATCTTTCACTGCTTCCATTCTAGTAGAATTCTATTTTGCAGCAAAATTGGCTTATCATTGTTCTGGACATATCTGGAGCTTTCTCCCTGACACGCTGAAATGTGTTCTCTTAACCTCACATCTACCTGTCAAACTCTTATTTAATTGTTTTTCCTATTTAACTTTCAAAGGTTAATTCAAATGTCTCCTCTTCAGGGAAGCTTTTCTGGATGCCCCTTGTCCATCTCCAACCCTGACATGCCTGGCTTTGATCTCTCTCACTTCTGAGGACATATAAATGGAATGTTCCTCAGTTGTGACATGAATTCTGCCTTGTGGCGGTATGATCTGCATGCACATTTTATTCTCCCTAGCATATTTTAAAGTTCATAAGGCTTGGGCTGCCTCATACTCTTCCCTGTGTCCCCTGAAGCTCTTATACACACTTGCTACATTGAACAGAAGGATTCTTTTGCACCTGGAACCCAGCTGTAAGCACATATACGTTTGTCTGTGTATTTCTCTCTGGGCTACCTACTACATTTGTCTGCTTATGTTTGAGCTGTATTTTCTTCACTGTCTGCCCAGCTTATTTTTGCAGGTCAAACACATTCCATTTCTCTTTGACTTATGCACATGTAGAAAAAATAAACAGGTAAGTTGAGAAAGTAAAATTTGCCTGACTTGTGAAGCCTTCACCATCTTTCTTTCCTGTCCATATACGTATTGCTAAGCAACTATGAACAAGGAGCTTAGCTCCTTCCTACTGGAAACTAAGTGAAGTGCCTCTTCTTTGTTCCTGACCCAGTCTCCCTTTTGAAAGCGCCCTCTATAAGCTACTCTTTGTTGCTTCTATATTTCACATCCTTAGCCTAGAAGAGAATATCTACCAGAATCTGAATGAACTCCCCATGGGAACAAGTTTCCTTGGAGCTTGAACACACAGGGAGAAATAAAAGAGAAGTAGGGTTTGTTGTATTTTTAAAATACTCAGTAACATTATTATCACTGATTTCTGCCTATAGTGTAATTTTTTCATGAACTATGATGATGTTAAACACAATCATTTATGAATGCCTATTTTTTGTAAGGCATGGGGCTACAAAATTTCTTTATTTAAATTTTTTCTATACTTAATTCTTAAAACAACACTGCAAAGTGGAAACTGAGGTTTAGAGAAGTTTACTGAGGTCTCAAGGCCGGTGAGTGATAGAACTGGGAAACTTTAGAGCTGTAGTATTTGAAACAGTGTGGCATTGATGTAGGAATAGATAAATACAACAACAGACAGTCTAGGTAAGAGTTACATGGAAAATTATACATGATAAGGAAAATACTTAAAATCAATGGGGGAAAAGGTGGTCATTTAGTGGTGTTGCAACATATTGGTACTACAATTGGAAGAACAAAATTAAAATTAGAACCAACGTTTTATTCTAAATTCCAAATAGATGATCTTTATTTAATTTTTTAAAAGCTCCTCCTTCTTTGGTAATTGAATTTTTCCTATATTTTATTCCATAAAATATTGCCTTTAAATTTCACAGAAATGTTGACTGTTCTCTCCTCAGCTTTTTGGATGTCATTGTAGAGAATGTACATACCCTTCAGCTCCCACAAACCAGAGAATCCCTGTTTTCTTAGGCCTTGTTAAACAAAATTTGAAATATCAAGTCATAATGGAAATAATTGGTAAATTTGACTAGAGAAAAATTTAAAACTTTTTTTAATGAAAAGATCCTATAAATGTAGAGATCATTGAAGTTCTTTTTAATTTTAAAGGACAAGTAACAGATTGCCAGAAAATACTTACAAATATTTATAAAGATAAAAGCTACTACCTCTAATATACAAAGAGCTTCTACAAACCAATAAGAAACATACAAGCAAACTAATAGAATGCTGGTTAAATGATAAAAATAGATCATACAGATTGCCAAATAAACATGTGGAAAGAAGGTTATCATCACTGTTGGTCAAGGAAATGCAAATTAAAACAACAGCTATAACAAATTAAAACAATCTGCTATAAACACAGCTGCATAGTCAGTCGTTTCCCCCTATTTTCCTGGGAAAGCATATAAAAGCAACCAGAAAGTTGAAAAAGATTCTGAAAATTTCCTTTTTCAGTGAAGCTAAGAGATAGCTAATCCACAAATTTCAAATTATGTGACATCACTACCAATCACAGATGAGATCAGGTAGAGTCAAGAAAGAAAGTAAAAAAGAAGAAGTATGGAGAGAAATTAGAGGGCTCAATGGG